TCTCTCTCTCTCTCTCTCTCTCTCTCTCTCTCTCTCTCTCTCTCTCTCTCTCTCTCTCTCTCTCTCTCTCTCTGTATCTATCTGTATCTATGCTGGTAGGAAGGTCCGAGGAGGGGAGCCCTGTCTTTCAGACGAGACATTGATGTTGAAGGGATTGTGTGCCTCCATGATAGATTTGTCTGCCAGCTCAGATAGCTTCGATCCAACGGACACACTGCTTCTGTTAAGGCTCCCGCTTGAGTTCCTATGGTACCTGCACCTGAACGAGCCAGCATGGGTCGTCGGGGAGCACAGGCAGTTGCTTTTCCTTACGCTCGACGTTTTCCGGAGGCTGACAGGTGATGTTGGCACCGAGGAAGAAGATGATGTCATCGTTGTCGTCGTTTTAATGTTGTCCATGCCAAGGTTGGAGTTCGACGACACCTTTGGCTTTGATGAATCTGCCATTCTCAACCTGGAATAAAATAGGTAATTATTGTTCGGGGACTGGAAAAAACAAAATTTCTTCAGATCGTGCAAATTTTACGACAAAAATGATTATTATATCCAAATGAGTGTCTGTCGTGTGTGCGTTTTGTGTTTACTTTGTCCGGGGAAGACTGATCCAGGTACTATCATTACAAAATTTAGATCATTGAAAGGAATAAATTTAAATCATATTGAAATGTTCTCTTATGGGGAAAAAAGGAAAGAACAGATAAGAAAGGACTAGCAGGTGATCGATTACCGGGAAAATCTCTGATTTGCAGAAATGGAGTCCAAATCTCTCTGGTAATTTTGCTGTGGATCAATGGAATAGATGGAAGTGAATGATTTGTTTTGGGATTAATTGTTTGTGGGGAAAGAAAAGTGGGCATCCCACACAATGTGACAACATTCTTTAACTTCTGTGTTATATTTGTGTCCGAATTTTTCTAGTTCAGAGTCTGAGGTTACTAAAAGACCTCATTTATAGGCCACAAGTTAATGTACTCTCATGTGTTTCTTACTATTATTGGAAGAGAATAACCTGGACAAGAGGGCACCTAACTGTATGAATTTGCCTCACCTCAACAAATTGAGGACATCGTTACATCGTGCTTGTCGAAAAAATCAAAAGAATTATAAATAAAATTCAAGAGTTTTGATTAACAACCATCAATCAGATGAACTCATACTAGTTCTATTGCTTGGAGGATTACCATTATTAGTTCTATTATTTAGCTGCTCATTTTGTGCAAGTTCAATGACACTGCATGGTTTTATTAACAGTTATGATAAATAGCACATCTCTTGCTTATGTTATGGTTTACATGCTAACTCAATTTCACACCTCAACATCATTGATTTGAGCAATATCAGATCTTAAAATCATGGTTGAACTTACAAAATTGGTACAAGTTTTAATGAAATAAATCCACATCAACAATAACTGCTTTTCTGCATCTTACTTTTTTCAACTTAACATTACAACACATAAAGACTTATTCCAAGTTCTCACATTCAGTTGTCTCCCAATCTAACACATACAGAAAACTGAAAACTGATATCAGTTTCTAGTTTTACACTACAACAGAGGAGGAAGAAAACCAACTTTGTTACAACAACATATACACTAAAATTACATGCCCTTCTCCAGTTAATCTAACAACTAACCAATTTCACAGCATTAACTTCCGCCATAAAATCGTCGAAAAACAGACGAGTTAGCTAGCCGCTCAACGTGCATGTGCCAACACCATCCTTGCAATCCCTCGTGAGATCATTAAAAGTCTCTACCTGCTTTTTCCCCTTCAGAAACACCTCACTATTGACCAACGTCCTCATATAACCATCAAACTCGACCGCATTCCCATTATTAAGCCTTGTCATCTCATCAAACCAATCACTGTTACCATCCCACAAATCTTTATAGTCATCGAGGAAATGAGTCGAGTATTTTCCCTTCAAATTATCAAAAAACGACACGTCCCGCTCGTCTGTGGCAATGTAAAGGTCCCTTCCCACCTCAATCCTTCCCCTCAACGCCACCATAATCGCTTCCGGCGAGGTGTCCCTATAGAGATTAGGCCATATCTCCTTATTTTTAACCTTCTCCCGACGCTCGACACGTACAGCGTCAAAATCCGAGTTCAATCTCGACACAATACCCGAGGCAATGTCAAGCAACCTTCTCGATTTACGGATCATGTGCCACGGCCGTTTAATGATGGGCTCCGCCTCGCCCTCACAGACCCGGTACCAGTAGTTATCGGGCTCAACCGACCCAAATTTCCTCATGATTAAAGCATCCTTCACCTCGGCTAGCTTCACAGTCGTAACCCGAAAATCCTCCACAAGGTGGAGGCCCAATATACCCTTCTGCTGCCACTTGTCCCAAGCGGACCAGAACTGAGTCCGGTCGAGCACAGAGGCCGAGTCCTTCAAGTGCTCGTAATCAAAGTAGAATCTGAAATCCTTGCCTTCCTCATCCACGCTAAACGAAGAGTATATCTTGGATAAACAGAGGCTAAGGTCCATGACAAGCGTTCGGTTCAAAAACAGCGCCTCGCCAAGCATGCACGTGAAGCTCCACAGGTATTGATGCATGCTCTTGCACCTGTCCCCACCACCCGAGTACACCAAATACTTCCCTCGGATAAACGAACCCTCGGATAATACTTCAGGAAGCTCGTCATTTGCAGTCTCACCAACCTCAATTGCCAAAGTAGTATTACTATTATTATTGTTATCTTCAGGCCTTTTCTTTGCTTTCCCCTTTTTCTTCCGAGCATTCACGCCCGAGTGATATTCGCCAATGCCAACCACACTCATCGTGCAATTCTTGGACCTGGACACAACGAAGCTCCTATAGTCCTTGTTAAAGGAAGCTGGCTTGCTGTCTTTGGGCCGGTAGCGCCACGCCATGTGGCAGGAGGAGCCGTTGTCTCCCTCAACGGGCTTCCCAAACCGGTAAAAGTGGACGTCCTTGAACTTCTCGATGGTGGCCCGCATCAGCAGGTGAAACAGGTCCGGATCGCGGCAGTCGATCGGGTCTTCGGCCTTGCAGACGCGGGCATCGGGGCCGGCAAGGGACTCTTCGGGTCCGTGCCCGACCAGGGAATCCAAATCGGTGTCGTTGAATAAGGACTCCAGCGCCGCCTGATTGGGGTCGGGTTCAGAGGGAAGGAAATTTCCGATCTTTGAGGCGGGGAGGAAATGGGGGTCGCGGGGCTCGTAGTTCACGGTGAATACGACGGCGCAGACGACGAAAACGGCAAAGCAGAGGTAGCCGATCAGGCTTAATGTGGTTTGGCCTAGGTTTCCGGGATTGGAACTCGCGTACCTCGATTGCTGCCGGCCAGACATTTTCATTACTTCTTAGGATCGCCGGAGAAAAGGAAAGGGAAAGGGTTCAAAGCTGGAAATGGGAAATCGCCGGAAAACGGATATATGCTGATAACGACATTTGAGTTCGATACAGAATCTGGGCGACTGTGAAGCCATGAATTTGCCATCGGGCCTATTGCTAGAAGGGCTCCGTATTTGGGCTGGAGTTGCGAACCTAGCCCGTTTAATCTTGGCCCATATGCCCCAACATAACATTCGGGCTGAAGGAAATAGGGTTATTTTCCTGTAAATGGGTTGGATGAGGCGTTCGGATTGTCGACTAAACAGCTTGGCTATGTGGGCTTCAAAGGAAAATATTGGGCTGCCTATTGCCGCCTCTATAGTCTATTGTTACAATAAGACACGTGACACACACCACGCACGTGCTAATCGTAAAAATTGCCAGGAAAATATCCTCATAATCATAAATATTGTTTTGCTCAATGTCAATGTTCTATTTTGCTACTTGGTTCTCAAAATCCAAACTGTTTAAGCATCTCATTTACAAATTACTAATTTCTTGTTTTTATTTCCGCGTAATATGAACAATAATAATGTGTGATATTCTTTTGTGCGTGAGGGAAGCTTAGGCTGAGTGTGAACCGTCAGATCATGCACATACATTGACTGTGAGTATGTGTGTGTCTGTGTGTGTGTGTGTGTGTGTGTGTGAGAGAGAGAGAGAGAGAGAGAGAGAGAGAGAGAGAGAGAGAGAGAGAGAGAGAGATTCGACCCAATACCCAGTCTCTTAGTGCATTGAGTTAAACAAATGTAGTTTGCCTATGTGATGCCATTCCCAGGCATCAATCAGTCAGGTACACACAGAATGGACATTACAACTGCATTACATCAAAGGACACATAATCCAGAAAAAAGTTCAACGGACCACGATTAATTCAGAAACCTTATCATCCCAACCGGTCAAAGGTTGACCTACAGCATGTCCCGACTCCAAAGATCATGCTTCATCACAATGGATCGACGAGCACTAGGCAGACTTCATCTCCGGATATATTTTCCTCAGAGCTCGAGGCATTTTCAGAACAATCTCAGCAAATGCTGCAATTAAAGCCAACTTTAGTGGCCAAGAAAAACTCAAAGATATGTAAATAATAATTAAAAAAAAGACAGTTATGCAGTAGATTACAATTCCCCTCACTTTTGTAAAACATAACACAAATTTCAAGGTGTGCAGTTCTACTGCTTTAGTGGCTCAAGGGAACCTTGTAGTTATATATACCGAAGATAACTGGATTTGTCTACATCCAGGTGAAACTTCAATTAGTTTTTGTAATTATATATACCGAAGATAACTGGATTTGTCTACTTTGATAAATTAAGAAAGTCCAACCTTCAGGTAAGCTCGTCGATCGTAATGCATCCTCTGCATATTGCAAACGAGCTGGACTAGGTTGACTTCCATTTTCCTTTCTCTTTGTAGGTCGATAAGTTGACCATGCAAAGACACTGACATCTGAGGGAAGTGTGTTGAGAAGATCAGAGTATCTAAGACTCACAGTGACCTTGCTGCCACGCATAAAATCAACACAAAGACCACAACATTAATAAGCAAAAGAAGTTCCTCAAATAGAAAAATGTCACCAATCAAATTACATTAGTGCATGTATACATATAAATTAACCAGAAACTAGTGGTGGCAGCGAGCCTGGTCAGAGAAAATAAATAGTAAGGACTCACAAAAGATTGCCCTTGCAGACTCCCAATAGAAGTGCCGTTTGGGACTAATCACAAAAATAATATTTTTTTTTCTTAAAAAGATATTTGCGGTAATGAAACTGAAAACTAAGCCAAAGCGAAGTAAGTTAATAATTCCAATACAGGGTGTAACAAAAATTAAATTTTCCACAAGCATATGTCTGTTTGACAAAAGGGCACTGCATGCATTATTGAGTTACTCCACTAAAAGTAGCAACATGCAGTGACAGATCTAGGAATTTCACTCATGGGGGCTCGATTTTAAATGATAGAACGATTAACGAGCTTGTAGTTTAAGTGGAAGCGCTCATTTCATATAAAAATATATTTACAATAAATATAAATATCGATATGTGTACCACCAAGTTTTTCAGAGCTTAGAATCTGTATCACCCTCAAACTTGTAAAAAAATAAACAAAAAAGATGAAGTTTCGTGTATTTATAACGTAAGTTCAACATCTATAGTTTATGGAAAAATAAGTTTTTTTTATTGAAAACTGTTTTAAATTGAACTTTTTCAGCACATTACGTAGCATTTTTATTGATGAGAGTCTGTCAAATTAACATTTTTTTAAGAAGAAAATAAATAAATTTAAAAATATGTGATTGCACAAAAAAAAGTAAAAAAAATCAACATTAGAAAATATAGTAGTCCAACTAAATACAGAGTTTTATAAATCGCTAAGTCGGTTTACAATTAAGAGGATGAAAGAGTAAATCATTATAAATATTTTCAAAAATTTATCTAGAAATGTAAAATAGAAGGCTTGTTAGTACATTTTTCATAAATAAATAATATTATTAATTTAAATAAAAACAACATAGAAAAGTTTTAATTATCAATATATTGTAAATATTTTTTACATTCTTGTACATATTTTATAGTATTTTTATATATACATACATATATTATTGATTTTTTTAGTATTTTCTTTACACACACACACATATATATATTATTGATTCTTTGAAAAAAATCAGGGGGGCCCACGGCCCCCCCTGGGCCCAATACAGATCCGTCATTGGCAACATGTATGAGATTCAGAGCACAGGAAGCAGAAAACACCAACCAGTCAAAACCGCGGAGCATGAATTCAATCATATTATACGGAAGGCTGAAATGAAGTTCTTGTATTTGATTTTCATACAACTCCTTCGTAAGGCGAACCTGGCATACCAGAAGAGATCCGGTGACTAACAAATAATCATTGTCGAGATATTTATTTAGGGAAATCTAAGGGGTTACTCTCTGCTTAAATAAGAAATCTGATAAATAAATAAAAACAAAAAAAAAAAGTAATTATCAACAAAGAAATTTCATCCACGCCATCTCTCATCAAAAGTTTCCTAACATTTCACATTCTTCCAAGAAATATGCCAAATTACTAATAAACATTACTCGAGAAAATCATAATATTTAATGCTCGACTTAGACTCATTAACAAAGTATTCCATGACAATATCACACTACCAGAAACCAAAAAAAAACCCTGTGGCGACAAAAATTGTCGTGGCTAAATCAAGTTAATAGTAGCAACATATGCGCGCTATTTAGAAATTCATAATTACATCTGTCGTAATTGAAGTTTTAGCGACTAGCAATTTCGTAGCAAAAACATCATAAATGGGGTTCCGTATGCCAGTTGTTTGATCTTGGTTGGTCTGACCAGCATCAGATGTGGGACACGCTATTAGTGTTACACGGTGTTATCACTATCAGTCAATAGAAAAAACTCATGCATGCCCTAAATTTAGATCTTGGCAGTGGTGGCATCAAGAAGTGTTCAATTGAAAATAGATATACAGGGAATGAGGGAGACCTTCTTTTATAATACTCAAATAGGATCTTTATAAGTTGATTAAACTAAAGAAACAATAAATTAATTCGTCTTATATATATGTAAAGGTACAAAACAAGATTGCTACAAGCATATAGAACATAGATTAAGCATGATACAGAGCAAGGTACAACATTCAAAACATTCATTTTCATTATTTACAAAAGATGAAATACAGCATAAGTGTGCGCATGTGCCACACATGCTGGTACACACAGAGAGAGTATCCTAATGCGGGAACTGGAAATAATATTTTCTTATGGAGACAAATTAAAAACAAAATCGACATTTCCAGAGAGAAATATTTACCTGTTCTCTTCTGTCAACGTATGCCTGCACCAAGGCCCCGACATGGTCTATGAATTTCTGGACTCAAGGAAAATGGTACCGTTTCAGATATATGTGCCCAAACCATAAATATTTGAAACCTTCATGTATATAAATTTACCATTGCATTTGTATAAAGAAAATTATGTTCTGCCTCTCTTATCGGCAAGAAAAAAGGAATCGTATGTTCAAGAACTGTCACTTTCTCAAGGAATGACTTGCTGCTAAGAATACAATGGAACAGTTCACAGGGTTCTCCTGCAACAGACCAATTATTGGTTCTCATTGTACAACTAAATGGATACAGTTAAAGGTTTAGAAAGTTCATTCAAAAGGAGACAGAAAAGCCTGTAAGCATGTACATACGGAAATTTCACATACAACCAAAAGTGTAACAATAGACCAAAACAGAACAAAAAATGCAGAAAATATATAAATGGATACTAAATTTCAAGTCTTCAGGACAAGATAATCCTCCACGATTTAAAAAATCTGTAAAATATATAAATAGTATAGAATTATCTAACTGTGTTGGATAACCAATAAGCGTGAGACCTAGTGAAACTCTAATACTGGATAATGGTAAATCTTAGCTATCAGAAAATTGCAATGTACATGTTTATATTTTCAGTAATTACCAGCATATGATGTCTCATATTGGATACCAATCCGAGACCCTTCCAAACAACATATTACCTGCCCATTTAGATAAATAAAAACACAGAGCATGTTAAAAGAATACCATCGCCTCAACGGTCATTAAACTACTTTTAGAATACATAAACTGAAACGGGCGTCATTGTTTATTTACCCAGCTATAGTTTATAAATTTGGCAGCAGACAAATACAAAATATAATCTCAAGTACAAAACATTCAATTGCACAGCTACAATAACAAATTTACTTTGTTTCCAACTATGTAAGTTATCTTTTCATGGGCAGGAAGATTTGGTGTCCCTGCGACATCTCCTGCCTTTTGCATGGCCTTTCTCTCAGCCTCCACATGCACCTGACATAAATCAAAATCTATCAGATTTGCATTCATCGTGAGACTGCTGACTGAAAACATGATAACCTCCCATCACTTTAAATTGATAACTTTTGGTCCTTAGGAATGCTGAAACAGGTTGAACATAGTCAACTTCCATTAATAGTGGAAACTTAAAGAATCTGAACAAAATAACTAACTTGATGAAATCATACCCGCTCCCTTATTGTAGCTAGTAACCCATCATTCCACTGATCACCAACTAGACTTATTTCTGCAAGACAACAACATTACATCATAAACCAGCAACACATAGTAGTGCATGGTCAGGTTCAGCATGACGTGAAGTGTAGACAATATGCCAAATAAGCTTATACAAGAACCTATAACACAAAATTAAAGGAAGAACAATTATTAAGCTCAAGGAGGCTAGATTAATTCTTCAGAAAATATGAAATAAGACATTTATGCTGCCATAGGTTCTATCAACTACATATATCTTGGTTCTTCAGAACCATTAATAATCCGTCCAAAATTTTACACAATTAAACAAAAGCCAAAGCTGATAGTATTAAGTACATAACTCAAACAACACAGAAACACACTACCTTTCGTTTGAGAAGCACGTTGAGCTTCAAACTCCTTTTGCAGACGTCCAGAAACTGTTTTCTCAGATTCCCTAATAAAATAAGCAACTTTGGAACCTTTCTTAACAGTAGCAAAAACTAACATCATGACAGACTAACAGACAGAATAAAGCATAACATCATGACAGACTAACAGACAGAATAGAGCATAAGTGATATACAATTCTTCTTTATGAGTTATGGAAAAGGCCACCATGCTGGAATAAAGAACTCGTAGATTTCATTTTTTTGACTTTCTGGATTTTCCTTTGACAAATATCATCAAATTGCAGACATGTAGCTCTTACCAATTAAAGATCCAATACTTTCAACTTGACGTAAAATAAAGAATGTAAACGGTCACATGCAAATCATTCTCAACAAATAAATTCTGTAATCAGCAACAACTCGTTCTAGAACAAGGGAAAGTTGAGGGTATGTTGTAACTTGTACCTAGTAAGCCGCTGAGTCAGCTGCCCATGCCTTTTAAGGACATTTGAAACTGCACCATGAAGAATAAGTTTCATCAAAGAAATATAAAAACATTGTTTGTTGATAATGTGAGAAACTACAAGAACTGATACATCTTGCACGAGTAGTTTCCAACTTCACGTCCTCATCTTCAGAAGAATTCTGCGTATAAAGGGATGAATGAGCGGCCCATTGAAAACTAATCAAGCACTAAAAGAACATGAAATTAACTCATCGTTTATGTGCGATAAGCAAACGAAGTTCTTAGAGTTCAGTCGACAAGTACATTCTCACGCAATCACAAAAAGAGAGTCTAAAGTGAAATTTAAACTATAAAGCACCTAATTCCTCAAATAATTCCAGTAAAACCTTCATCAGCAAACAAATAACTACCCAATTCCAGACAAAAATTACCATTTCATCAACACTCACAGGCGGATCACTCTCCTTCACTTGACCAGTTAGCTCCATTGTCCTCATCACCTATTGAATCAAATGCAGCTACTTCAAGTAAAGACTTAATGATTTATTCACATTTTGGGAAATGAATTTGTCACCATTTTAGGGGCGAATACCATGAAAGAAAGTTTATCATATGAGTTGTCTCGTTTCTGAAAACCCTAATTTGATGAATTGGGAATGTTTCCATACTGTTGCTATTTTATATTATGAATTGGTGGGCCCAAATCATTTTGCGGCCCGAGATGATAAAGGAAAAAATGTAAATACCCAACATTTAAATGAAATTGGGATTTTTATTTTATTTTTTACCATTGCCTTCAATTTTAGATTGGTTTTTTATTTATTATGAAGAGCAATTTGATTAGGATAACTGATTTAATTAATGGATAATTTGTAATTGATTATATTAATTGATTAGACTAATGAATTTCATTAACACATTGCATAAAAATGTTTGGTAAATGGTAAGTAATTTTAACATAATAAATAATAAAATCAATTAAAAAAAAATAAAAAAATTTGAGCCATGTGTGGGCTGTGTAGGGTGAAGGAAAGTCTTTTGCTCGGTCCTTGTCTTATTAGCTCTAGCTAGTGAGTTTCAGGAGGTAATCAGTGTATTACTCGGTTGAACTATGTTTGAGTTTGTGTTTTAATATAAGGTAATCGTTTTGGGTAAAAAAAAAAATAAAAAAAATTGTAAAATGTCTACTGAATTGTTTGAATTCAAATTATACATTAAAATAACTACTGAATTGTTTGAATTCAAGCACAGCAAAAATTTCAAATTGTTTAAATGTAGCCATTTAAAAATAAGAATATAGTATTTCTCAATCAGTCAGGTCTCTTGTGCAGTCCCTTCATCAATTAAAAAAAACTATGGTAAGCAAACCATCAAGAAAAAGAAGAATTGTCAATGTGAAGAACCACTTTTCTAGGCACAGCTGCTTCAAATTAACCTTTTGACCGCGCATAAATTGACATGACAAATTCTGTTCAACTACTCTGTACTTTATGACCAATACCAATTCAACATTGCCTTCATGAGAATGAAGCAATAGATTAGAGATGTGGATAAGTTTCCTCCTCTGGTGATGAGGCATCATCAAATTCTTCAGTTTCGTGGAACTCAACGGGTGGGGTCCCGCCAAAAGTCCTCTTCCTGCAGAAATAGTTTAGATTGCAAATGTAATAAGAACAAAAAGCCCAAGTCGAGAACTAAAACAATTTACGGCTCTGTGCGTACTAAATGCAAAGTACATTCTGCACGTTCAAGTTCTACAAGCTTCCTGTTCTTTAGTATGTAGAGAGTTTATTACAGCGTTTGGTTTGGCAACACGTGACACGCTCTTCTTTCTCTATACGGAAAATGGAATGACATGTAGAGCAACAAATAGAACATTCGTTTACTCAAACTAATGAACGATGGCCTTCATTCATTTATAAGCACTAAACTTTATGGAATGACATTTCCAAGTGAATCGAACATGTAGAGAAACTTTACTCAGTATCATATCAAGCTGCTCTTATGGAAAAGGCCAGAACATATACAATGATAATAGCCACTTTACTTGACAATAAAGTTGGCACTGCATTAAAAAAATCTACAATTTCAATCAACAAATTATTAGCACTGAACATACCTCTGGGATACAAAATTTTCTTCAGATAAGACCTTTTCCAGCCTCTCCTCAAACGGTGTTGCATGCCAACTAACTTTCTGATCCTGAGCATCATTCACAAGTTTCAGTTGAAGAAAATGACAAGAATAAGAATACGTAAAGGCTGATAAAAGACTAAAAAGAGAATTATACCTCTTTGTACTTGGTAGTTGAGTTTGGGATTCCATTCCCGCCCCACCATTTAGGAGAAACGTGAGAGTCGCTGTTTTCATTCCAGTGTGTAGCCACCATTCCCAGAATAGGCCTATCTCCATGGGTTCTTTCAATACGAACATTTTCACCAATAATGTCGTAATCACCATTTTGATTGTCTGAGTGTTGATTGGACCCAGAAAATCCCCCTTCATGCTTCCTATCTTCTCCAAATGAAAGTTCATTTGTGGGAGTTGTGGGTACTGGAGCTGATATTAAGGGTTCTTCATCTTTTATCTTAACAGACTCACCTGAGCCGTCCGCATCACAATCGTCATTCTTCAAATCTTTCCATAAGGAGTGATTATCAATCGGGTTTAAGACAGAGTAGACATACTGAGACCGGATCCTGTTAGTTTTTCCGTCAGCCATATTGTTTGAGTAAGCAGGAAACACGGTACCAGGGGTCTGCATCTCATCAGATAATTTCAGTGGGGTCGGATATGGTGAAGGTTTTGATTCACTAGAATAACCAGAAGATCCGGAGCTCTTTGAGCGCTCGCTGTAAGATTCGGATGAAAAAGTCGAGCTATCACGGTCACACTCAAAACGCACAGACTTGTTTTTCCCCCGTGCACTTGTGGCAAAAGCTACAGGAGAAATGGTTAAAATTGGTGGAGAGTGAGTCCCTTTATCAGGCACATCTGTGGGAGTAATAACGATCTGAACATCACTGCTTTGAGTGGAAATGATTGAGCTTCTTCTCGTGTTATGTCCGTCAGTCATGCAGCTGACAGATGGAATTCAAAAGGAGTATGTAAGATGTATATTATCTATTTATGACTTTATGTTGATATCCCAAAACTATATAAGGGATAATGAATGCAGAACCGACATTCATAGAACTTGTAAGATGAAATAGACAGTTAATGGGAGCAGCTGAGTTCCCAAAATTACTATAAGGCGACAAAAATGGAGATTATGTGTGTGTGGGTGTGGGTGTGTGTATATGTGAAATTGAATAATTTTGATGCCAACAGAATGACAAATACCCAGTTAAATCTCAGAATGGCACAAGGCAGGCACCAAATTATATGATTTCACCTAATAAATACAATCTAGATGCTATTTTCAGAATTGAAGCAGCACGGTTGTTTCAAACCCATAAGATAATATACAAGTAAGTGTTGAGATGTACCTGCTGGGAGAGTCCACCAAGCTACTCGTTTCAACCACACATTCTTCAGAAAACTTCACCAGCGGTGGATATTCATCAAGTGGATTCTCTAGTTTCAGCTTCTCAATAGATGCAGTAGGAAGCCATGAATTGAAATTCAGTGATTGCTCCTCATTAGATGATGAATCAACCCATTTCCCTGAGGCTTTCCGAATTTCAGGTGGGGTTTCCGGTAAAGTTCCACATGCTTTAAGAAACATGGCCTACAAAACCAAAATTTTAGCCTCCATCTGTTAGAATAATGTAATATAAGCTGATTAACATCCATTTCCATTAGTGTATACATTCAATTGTTACCAACAACAAAACGGAAAACCAATCCAGACACAATTTTAGTCCAAGCTGCTTTTTCTTTAAACATCGACCGAGCTTACGAAAATTCTATCATCACATAACTTATGCTATTTAATAATATAAATTCAACAAAATCAACCTTCATTACCGCCATAAAGAAAATGCAGAGTATTAGATATACTCCTGAAACAGCTCATTTAGTTAAGGCACCAATCAATATACAGTCCATGAGAAGAGAATTATCAAATTTCGCGGACCACATAGATGCATCAAGATCCAGTGAAGCAAAACGCAATTGAAATGCCAAATAATTTCAAGAATCCAACAAACAGTGCAGACCTCGTTTTTTAGCTCCCTGGCATCAGCATCTTCGGTCACCAGCTTGCGATTTTTCCCTCTATTTCGAAGTGAATCGTCTTTTGCATATATAGTAACTCATCAATCAAAAAGATCCGCAAAATCCAACGCGAAACAGCAATAAATAAATAAATAAATAAATAAACTAGTACAGAAACTGATTACCATCAGAAAGCAAGAGCGCTGAAAGTGCATGCTCGTCGTGCCCCGTCGGACGTTTCTGCTGCAACTTCCAACATTGCTTATAAACAAGAAAGAATAAAGAGAAGGGGAAATTAAAATCAAATCAAATCAAATCAAATCATACCGAGGCAGACACATGTGAGCGAGTGTTCTTGGCGCGAAAACAGCCTAAGAAGCAGCCCATGACGGCGGCCGCCACCCCCCGCATAAACCCTACGACTGCAAATCCTTCGCCCTTTTCCTTCTCGCCGGAAAACCATGGCCGGACCATTTTTGCGTATGTAAATTCGAAAATGAAATTGAGGAATTACAATCAAAGATTCAGCAGAATTAGCGGTACTTAAGTGAGATTATTTGAGAGAGAGAGAGATTGAAAGCTGGGGAATAAAAATCATATCGACCAATTGAATGCTCGGTGCTTGAGTTTTCAAATTCGGAAGGGGAGGGAAATGAATTTCACAAGAATAAAACGGTAATTCTTTTTTACGACCCCTCAAATTTCAGCTTTTTGCAAAGAGCGCCTCGATTTGGTTTTAAATTTTAATTCAAATTGCCGTTTTGACTCACGGATAATAGTGCAATATCCGTGCGATGCACGTGCTTATTAAGGTAAGAATTTATATATGTGATTAGATGATTGTAAGAACGTCAAACTCATATGCTAGAATAAAACAAAATTTAATTTATATATATTAATAAACACATCCTTGCACAGGGGCGGACGTACATAGGGGCCCGTATGGGCACAGGCCCCTGTAGAATTTTGTGTAATATAGTATATACTAGTACAATACATGTGTATTACACGGGTGATTGCTAGTTTTTTCTAATAAATATTATTAATTTTTATTATTATAAAGATAAATAAAATTTATTTATTTATATATACAATATGGATGTCAAATCGAAGATCATGAAAAGATTATTTCATAAATTATATATGTAAAATCGATAAGAAATACAAAGTTATCAACTTTTAAAATACATTTATAATTCAATAGTTATTTGAAGGAAACAAACCAAAAGTCAGTGATATATTAGTCACTTAGTGTCTCACTATGTAAAATTATAAATAATTAAAAAAATTATATTAGTACAAGTGATATTAAAATACCTAAGTTAGCTAAATAATATTTATAGAATGTCCAAACCTAGATTATTAATTATTAATATATCAATATTATTTGTTCGAACCTAATTACGAAGCATGATTCATCGCCAAATAGGATTCTGAAGCACACCAGAAGCAGCCACATAGGCTCAGCGCATTCGGTAATTATATATAGGGGATATGTTGTATTTATAAATGTATTTATATTATTATATTGACATAAGAAAACATGTTATTAATTATTATACAAAGTTATTTCAATATAAAAAATAAAAAGAAAATACTTAGAATTATTTAACTTTCAATTGGTTGTTATTTTTTAAGTTGTGGAGTTTATGTTTATGATATACTCAAATTCTTGTTTATTTATTTTCCTCTCCCAAAATACAATAAAAAAATAAATATTATACATAAATGCATATAATTTATAGAGATTCAATCAAATGTGTCCCTATTCATAAATGCGAATGTGAGACTCAACCTTAGCTATTACATAAGAAACATTGTGTGTAGTCTTTTTTTTTTTTTTTTTT